ACACTGATTTATTTCTTCTTTCTGTTTTATTATTATTATTATTATTATTATTATTATCATCATCATCACTATCATCATCATCATTGTCATCGTCGTCGAGGGATTTAGGAAACTCCTGTGCTAAGTTTATTTTGTCTTATTTCTTTGGGTGAATAATCAGTCTTTATCCCTTAATTGCTGGATAGAGGTGGAGTGGGGAGATGGGGCAGAGATGCAGTTGGGAGGCTGGCCCACTTCATCAAAAAAGAGGCAAGCAATTAAGCTGACAGTATTTAAAAAGCACCCAAGCCTCTGAAACTCAAGCTTTGGAATCCAAGTTTTCTGGCCTTTAGGGCGTTGTGCAAAGTCCACATGGTTAGTTAGGAGTTTGTCTGATGGATGTGGGAGGATTGGATTAGAATGTAGGAAAAGCTCGGTAGGTTGTTCTTGAGTATAATTTACTTGATTGTTTTTGGCTTGGTAAGTACACCCAGAGGCTTTATACTGATGTATGTGATTCAACAAAAACAAAAAACAATAAGGTCTTTATAGACTTGTGGTTTAATAGCTTTAAATAAATTAACTTTTTTTGGATCAATTCAGTGCACTGATGATATTTACAATCTATTAACTTTTTTATACTTCTCCCCTATGTTAACACTTTAATTTAACTTTGGAGAAATCGCTTTATACCCCTCAAGCAAACGTATTATTTTCTACACACAGGGAATTTCAAAGTGCATAGACATGCCTATAAAAAACCATCTACCAGGAAAAGCTGAGCCCTAACCCCAGATTCCAGTTTCAGATGTAGACTCTCATGCCAAATTTTTTTTTTTTTTGGAACATAAATTTTATTTTTTTTCTTTAAAAAATTTTTTGAATTATTTAAAATTTATATTCAATTAATTAACATATGGTGTATTATTAGAGTTCAGTGATTCACCAGTCTTATATAACACCCAGTATCACCCATTTACCCCATTTCCCCCTTTCCCTCCAGCAACCCTCAGTTTGTTTCCAGTGATTAAGCATCTCTTATGATTTGCCTCCCCCTAGTTTTTATCTTATTTTATTTTACCCTCCCTTCCCCTATGTTCATCTGTTTTGTTTCTTAAATTCCGTATATGAGTGAGATCATATAATTGTCTTTCTCTGACTGACTTATTTCGCTTAGCATAATAACCTCTAGTTCCATCCATGTCGTCATTGAAAATGGCAAGATTTCATTTTTCTGATGACTGAATAGTATTCCATTGTATATATATACCACACCTTTTTTATCCATTCCTCTGTCGATGGACATCTGGGCTCTTTCCATAGTTTGTCTCATGCCAATTTTTAACTGAAATAGGAACGTTCTTCAAAAAAAAAAATTACAAGCATTTGGTGCAAGCTAAATGCTCGGGGGCGCCTGGGTGGCTCAGTCAGTTAAGCATCTGCCTTCGGCTCAGGTCATGATCCTGGAGTCGCGGGATCGAGCCCTGCATCGGGCTCCCTGCTCAGTGGGAAGCCTGCTTCTCCCTCTGCCCTTCACCCACTCATGCTCTCTCTCTCACTCTTGCTCTCTCTCAAATAAATACATAAATAAAATCTTTAAAAAACAAAGAAAGACTATACTCTATAGGTGAGCAGTCAGTTCTGCACCCAATTAATTGTGTCTGGACTGAATAGTGTCTCCTCCGCCCCAGTTCATATGTTGAATACCTTTTCGCCATTGTGGCTGTATTTAGAAATAGGGCTTTTAGGAGGTAATTAAAGTAAAAAAGCTCATAGGGTGGGGTCCTAATCCAAAAGAATTGGTGGCTTTCTAAGAAGAGGCAGAGAGATGTCTCTCTCTGCACAGGCAGTAAAGAAAAGCCATGTGAGCACGGAGAGAGGGAAGGCTGCCTTCTGCAAGCCAGAAAGAGCTCTCCCCAGGACCTAATAGGCTGGCACCTTAATCTTGGACTTCACAGCCTCCAAACTGTTAGAGAATAACTTTCTGTACCGTATGTATGATGCTTTCTTGCAGGAGTCCAAGTTGAGCAAGACGGTAACTGTAACCAAGTTATTTATAATGCCTCCGGGCCTCAGTTTTCTGATGTGTAAAAATGTGTGGATCAGGCTAAATCAACCCTAAATTCTCTTCCATCTCCAGCATTCTAATCTGTGATTCTAACTGAAATTGTTTGGCTCCACAAGAGCACCACCCTTTTATTTTTAATTTTTTTTTAAATTTTGAGTTTCCAATGTTCAGAATAGTTACAAAGTAGTACAGAGAAGTCCCATGTATCTTTTACCCAGATTCACCAACTTTTAATATTTTTCTCCATATACTTTTTCATATTCTCTCTGTATTTGTACACATTTATTTTGCTGAACCACTTGAAGGAAGAGTGCGGATGTATCTCTTTATTCCTTAATATTTCAATATGCATTCCTTAAAACTGGATATTTTCTTACTTAACTACGGTTGCCAACTCGGGGAAATTTCATATTGATATAACACTTCTATATAATCTACAGCCCATGTTCCAGTTTCTTCAATTTTTTTGTTAATATCTTTTAAAGCATTTTCCCTTTCCAGATGGAAATCATCTAGGATCACATACTGCTCTTTATCACGCTGGGGTCATGTCTCCTCCCTCCTCTGTCTGGAACAATTCCTTGGCTTGTCTTTCTTTTCATGAGCGTGAGTTTTGAAGAATACAGGCCAGCCATTTACTAGAATGACCTTTACTTTGGATTTATTTAACGTTGCCTCATGATTAAAGTCAGGATGTACATTCTTGGCTGGACCACTATATAAGTGATATTGTATTCTTTCCAGGGAATCACATTAGGAGGCACATGATATCTGAATGTCTTTCATGGGTGATGTTAATCTTAATGACTAGATCAAGGCATTGTCCCATTTCTCCATTGTATATATAGTTTCTATTTTTCCCCTTGCAACTATTATGCAATCTATGGAGAGACACTTTTTGAGAGCATGCAGTGGTCCTGCTCATCATATGACTTCCCCCCAGACTTAGCATCCATTGACGATTCTTGACTGAACCAGTCTTTAGTATGATGCTTGAAAATGGAGATGTCCACTGCTACCGCTCCTTCCACATTTATCAGTCAATGCAAGTCATTCACCTGTAAACCAGAATCCCCAGTCATCTCCCCTCTATTATCGTACTTGTGGATCTTTATTTATCCAAAGAGTAAATAATCTATTAATTTCCTTATTTATTTTGGTGCCCTGATTGGCTCAGCTATGGCCAGCAGCCCCTTCAAACTAGCTCTATGTCCTTTTGATACATTCCCAGCTTTTTAACACTTTTGAGAAATGTTGATTGAAATCAGAGGCTACTTAAAATAAGTGCTATTTGTATGTGTGTGTGTGTGTGTGTGCGCACACACACACACACACAACTAAGGACAAATTATCAATTGACAGCAGCTTAAAAATTTATTAGATGCTGTAACTATATACAACATATTTTCTTTAGTAGTATTATTCTTAGGTCTTCCAGTTAGTAGTTGTAATTAGTTTTCATAGTTATCATAGGTAATTAGCCTGGATTGCCAAAATCCTAGGGCTAATTTGGAAGACAGGACTGCAGCAGCCTACACAACGCTTCTTTTCAACATGGAGTCTTCAACGTTTTATCTTCATTTGAGTGCCAACGTCTTTATCATCTGTCCCTTATTGTGATGTGTGCACAGATTTTCACTTCGCTTTAGCCCTTGGCGCTTGGTCTCTGTGGAATTTCTAATGGTTCTTCTTGCCTCTGCAATCTTGCTGAACAAAGCCACATTTCTCCCAAATTCAGTAATAATTTCCATTTCTGCTATCAACATTAAGGCACTATGCGAGAGGTCTTCAAACTTTCATTATACTCTCAGAGTCTTCGTAATTTTTTCCAACGCCCCCAGACCAAAAGAAATCCTGAACAGTTCCTTTTATTAAACATTCAGGCCCAAAACTTATTAAAGTATTTATGTCCAAAAGCTTTGTAACTGTTTGGCAGAATTCTATACATAAATTGAAAGAAAGTTACATTTTTACTTCATCCTTAAATAACCATCATTACTTAACAATGGGGTGTGTGCACCTGTTGGGTAGTGCACAATTTCTCATGCCTTGAAGCAGATTGGACGTCACCATGTCTATTTCCTAGAATACATTTATTTTCATGGGCAATTACTTTTTTTTTTTAAGACTTTATTTATTTGACAGAGAGAGACACAGCGAGAGAGGGAACACAAGCAGGAGGAGTGGGAGAGGGAGAAGCAGGCTTCCCGCGGAGCAGGGAGCCCGATGTGGGGCTCGATCCCAGGACCCTGGGACCATGACCTGAGCCAAAGGCAAACGCTTAAGGACTGAGCCACCCAGGTGCCCCGGGCAATTACTTTTTATCAGAAATTCTAAAAAGCCAGTTTTGCAGAGTGATGACGTCACTGAAAGCAATGTAGAGTGATCTATTGCTGAAACGATGAACTACCTAGTAGTTTGAGCAGTGTCCCACAGATGGCCAGTTATCACTGTGTTTCCCTCAAAAATGGAAAATACTCTGCTGCACAGTTTGGGAACGATGACACTAAATCCTGGGAACCTTCAATCTCCTTTGTAAAAGAGCAACAACAAATACTGAGCTGATGTTAAAAATCTTTTCGCTAATGGTCAAACTGGTAGCGTTCATAATGCAGCATCAAGCTGTGGGTCTTTTTCACTGTTTATAAATGGGGTGATTACATCGTTTATTTTTCCAGTCCCAGGAGACTTGTAAGAGTGAAGGAGGTACTTCTGGGGCAGGGTTCTGGGATGACAGGTGTGAACAAGGAGTGTCCTGGGCAAATGGAGCTACGTGGCCACCCCGTTCATCCTGACATACATCGCAACACTTAACATCCTGAAATCCACCTTTACTCAACAAATGATCTCTACTACAATGTAGTTCCTATGATCTTGTAATTTGCCAAAGGATCTGACCACATCACATTTGAAATGTAAAGCTGATTGGTGGTGCTCTTCCTTCTCTTCTCTGTCCTATCCTTTTCCCTCCATCTCCCCTCAGATGCTGGGCCTTTTCTTCTCCCCGACTCCCACCTCAACTCTCATCAAAACTTACCTGCCACTTTCCCAGTCAGCCAGGTTCAGGTCTTTCCTGCAGTGTTTTGAGGACAATGCGAAAGGTAGCTACATTCATGACTCACAAGAAAGCCTGTGAAAGTCCTCTCTTCTCATCTCTCTAGGTATGATCTGCACAAGGCACCTGCTCCAAATTGCCCCTTCTCCCACACTAATCCCCACAAAGCCCTCACAGAGCAACGTCCGTCCCCAAGTCTTCTTGGGTCTCTTTCCCCTCCTTAGCCATGACTTCTTTGAAATCCCAAGCTCTTCTCTTATCTGGATTTGACACAACAAAGAAACTCAGAAAGCGACTCTACACCTTAGAGATTGCAAACACTTCCCATATTCAACCCCTTATCTCCCTTTTTTCTTTCACATTCAAAGGCACTCATCCATGCATCCCTCAAAATTGCCTGTAAGGGTTCCACTTAAATGCAAAGCTCTACGGGGCGGGCTAAAAGGGCGTTACGGTAATCATTACTGCTTTTAGAGAATTACAAATTAATTGGAGAAAAAAATTCCAATAGGATGTTTGGGCTTTGTAGAATGTCTGTGCCTGGCACGTAGCGGATGCTTGGGAAACATCCGTCTACTGGTGTAGGAAGTAGCATTGGCACCGGGAAATCGTCCCTAATGAGCTCGCCAAGCATTATATGGGCGCCCGCGGTGTGCCAGGCCGACTCCGCGCACAGTGGTGGTAGGCTCAAGGGGCATTCCGAGGACCCGGCATCACAGGGAGGCTGCGATCCTGCTTCCACGGCCTTGTCGGCTCCTTCATCTTAGTGATGACAAACGTGCACGATCGCAGGCAGGCGCGGATCGGCGGGGAAGGGCCCGCCTCCCGGGGCAGGGGGCTCGCCCAGGGGACCACGCCGCTCCAGGACGGCGGGGGCCAGCCCGGGAGGACGAGCCCGCCCGCGGAGCCGCAGAGCAGCCCAGCAGCTGGCGCTCGGGCGCGCTCGGGATCCCTGCTCATAATTTAAGTCAGAAACTCGGATTATGTTGAAGAAAGTAAGTAGCGTCTACGTTGCATCTAATCACGGCTTGTAAAGAGCAAGGCGGAACTCTGATGCGACCGTTTTAACGCGACCAGGAAGGAACGCTCTCAAGCGATGAGGGGCGGAAGGGGCGGACGTGAATAGTTCAGTAATAGTCTACTCTAAAGAGAAGCGAGAGGGCGCCGAAATAGCTCAGTTGGGAGAGCGTTAGACTGAAGATCTAAAGGTCCCTGGTTCGATCCCGGGTTTCGGCAGTGCTCCTTTTTAGTCCGACTGGAGTCAAATTGCGGGTGAATGCCTTATCCCGAGTAACCCGGCTTATTAACGCCAGCCCACTTGAAAACAAGGACTTGAAAGATAAGCGAGCGAGGAGCGGAAACAGCCACTCTCAGCGCCCCCCGGACCGCGGCCGCCCCACACCCCCACTTCCGGGGCGCCTTCCTGGCGGGCGTCAGAGGCGCTGCTGCGCGTGCGCCGTGCGGAGCCTGGGGGGCGGGAGGGCCTGCGCCCCCCGGCGACTGGAGGGTGGTGCGCGCAGGTGCTGCTGTGAGGAAGCGCTCCCTGTGTCTCGCCGAGCGAAAAAGACAACTTCACCCCAAATTTCATTCCCCAGAACCTCCCAGTTTGAAAAGCAAGACTCTGCTGTTGAATCGAGCGGCCCCCAGCGGGCCTTGCCCGTAATGGAACCTGGCGGCTCCGTGTTTCCAGTTAGAGGCGCACGCTGGGCGCTCCGGGGGCGTAATCGGGGTTACTGGCCAAAGGGGTAGAGGCGTGGCGGCATCACAGCTCTATTAAATTAACATCTTGCACCTAAACAACTTTATTTGGAGGGTAGGCCAGTGGTTCTCGAAGTGTGGTCTCCGGACCAGCAGCCTCTTCTTCCACTGGGAACTAGTTCGAAATGCAGATTCTGGGCCCCACCTCAGATTTACCGTATCAGAAACTGGTTTCTAGCCTTAGGTGTTTTAACAAGCCCTGCGAACGAGATTCAGAAGCAGCTCAAGTTTGAGGATCCACTTATTCTAGACATTCCTTTGTGTTTCTAAAAGAGCCCTTTCCTAAGACTGTTTCTGTGAACAAGCTTTTTCCTTTTGCTGTCTTTTATCCTGCAAGTCTGAAATAAAACTTTGACACGTGCTCGAAATACATCTTTTTCTGGGCCTCTTTTGCTTTCACAGTGAGTGTGTTGTTGGGGGTGGGATCAACTCCCCTAGCTAATCCTAAACCCTCCTATTCTATATTGTGTGGCTCCTGGGAGCTGAGCCAGGACCCAGGAGGAGCAGTTGCAAGGATGTAGATTTGAATTAAAGGAGGAAGAAATTTCAGTTTCTTAACTCACTAGAAAAGGAATATGTAGTGTAGTGGGGGTGGTGCGTTGCTGGTCAGCACATGAAAGACAATCCCTCTTGGGATTTACACAGTAGGTCTTGCATATCTTCTGGTTCTATTGTTTTGTGAGAGTACTTCGCATTTGTGAAGTACTGTGTGCTCTCACGTTATTAATTCATTTATCAATTGAGCATTAATTATTGACCTCCCACTATGTGCCAGAAATTATTAGATCTTCATAATTACCTAATAAAGTATGCATCATTATCTTCATTTTACATATAATAGTCCTCGTAGGAGTGCAAAGATTAAACCTAACGTACCCCAGGCATCTAACATCTGCCACCTCTTAAATGTTACTGTACCTGAATAGTTGTTGCTATGTTTGGTTAAGATGTGTGCATAAAAATGAGGGGAGCTAGGGGCGCCTGGGTGGCTCAGTTGGTTAAGAGACTGCCTTCGGCTCAGGTCATGATCCTGGAGTCCCGAGATGGAGTCCCGCATCGAGTCCCGCATCGGGCTCCCTGTTCGGCAGGGAGTCTGCTTCTCCCTCTGACCCTCCCCCCTCTCATGTGCTCTCTCTCTCATTCTCTCTCTCAAATAAATAAATAAAATCTTTAAAAAAAAAATGAGGGGAGCTATAGGAAGAAACTAAAAGCCTTTGCTGGTTAATCCGAAAAGGCATTATGGAGAAGTAAGTCTTGGTTGGGCCCTCAGAGAAAGATTTCTTGGACAGGGGGAAGACCAAACTGGGGTGCAACCAGCTCTCTGCATGTTTAAATGCAAGGGAATGATGTGGACACTGAAAGTGTGAGGGGTTGTTCCATTTCAGACAACCTGAGGATTGGCTACCCTGCGGGGCAGACAATAAGATCAGGTACTGGCTAGTGGACATTTGGTATTGGGGGAGGCTAGAGGCACCTATCAGGTTAGAAGTCCGAAGGGGGAAAGGTAAAAGGGGATCATTTGGGCAGGCCCCCACTGGGGTGTGGTCGGAAAGGGTTTTGCTGGCCTTGTGGGAGCGAGGAATGAACACAAAGAAGATAGGGAGCACTTAAAATATTTTATGTATGTATATATTTTAAAATAATTATATTATATATATATATTTTTTTTACCTTAAGAAGTAAAGTCTAGAGATGTAATCTGATCACTTTTATTGCTTTTCACTGATGTGTGAAGTGCTCTGATAGATCTCAAACACTGTTACTTCCCAGAGTGAAGTCTGAGCAGGACTGAACATGATTTGTCTTCTAGGGAGCCCCTGACACCTGCACTGGAACAGCTCTTTAGGACTGAGGAGGGGGTGAAGGGTGAGGGGTGAAGGTTGTGGAGTCAGCCCTTACTTTAGAAAAGAAATGCTTTCAATGGAAAGAATGTGATCACCTCGCACATTTATCAGTTATGTTCAGCCCAGTTCTCTATGGGCAACAAAAAGTTGTGAATGTCTACTCCTGCTTCAGGCCATTTATCCAGTGTGGAAAGGGAAAGGCATCTTTCCACATTTCCTTGAAAAGTTTTTAGGAAGAAACCTGGGATATCTGGCTCATGTGACAAATTTCTAAGGGAGCCACAAGCACATTGCTAAATGACTGTTTATTCCTTAATTATCCTGGGTACTATATTCATTTTAGGGCAGAAGTAAGATAGAGTGAAGCTGTTATAATTGTTATATATATAATAAAACTAGATGCGCATTTAATAATTCATTGGGGGCCTTTTGTGTAATCAATATGTACATACTTTAATACCCATTTTATTAGTCTTGGGTTATGGGTCTACTCTCTTAACTGTATAGTGGTTTATAGCTGTTTAGTTTTCTGTTGTATTTGTTGTCCTATCTCAGATTTATATGTTGAACCTTGGTCAGAAATACAACTCCTGTTTGGATTTGCCTCAGATTCCAGGAACGTACAGCTCCTACACGATAGTCCTTAATACGTGGTGTGAGAATGGATTACCTTGTGTAAGTGTAGCTCACTGATCCAACTGAAATCTTGCAGTATTATTTGCAGTCCTAGGTGTGGGTCCAGGGAGTGAAGCAGGACAATCTGAGCAAAAGCAAGGGTCTTCTTCACAACAGACACCCAAGTCACGTATTACTTCCATAAACTCCAATTTCCATATATGAGTTGTCTTATAGCAGGGTGCATGACTATTTGACTATTCATTGCTGAAATATATTCTACGGTGCATTTTGAGCAACCCCTCTCCCTACATACTCATTGACTCTCTATCAAGAATATCCAGAGTCACCATTTCTGGAGTGCTCTCTGTGTGCTGGGAATTCTGATGAGCATGTTTCATGCATAATCCTACTAAACTTGTCAATAGCTCTATCAGGTAGGAGGCAAAGTTGAATATAAATGAAAAAAAAAAAGATACATAAGTGTGCCATTGTGAAAAGCCAGCATAATTCTGAGATGTATCAAAATGAAATGAGCCACAAAAATAAAGGAGTAATTCTTTTATACACTGCATTAGTGCGATTCATGTTAGAGCATTTTGTTCAGTTTTGATTAACTCAATTTAAGAGGAAAGGGTTAACAAAGAACAAAAACATGATTAAGGAAGAGGAGATTTATCTTAAAAACAACAAAAATGGGCCACCTGCGTGGTGCAGTCGGTGAAGCGCCCCACTCTTGGTTTCAGCTCAGGTCCTGATCTCAGGGTTGTGAGATCAAGCCCTACCTCTGGCTTGGTGCTAGGGGGCATGAAGCCTGCTTGGGTTTCTCTCTCCCTCTCCCTCTCCCTCTGCTCTTCCTGCTCATGCTCACATGCTCCCTCTCTAGAATAAATAAAACTTTAAAAAAACAAAACAAAAACAACAAAAGCTCATGAAATAGACTTGCCAAGATAAAAGAAAACTAAGAGTAACTTGATTACAGTCTTCAAATTATTGTTTTGCAGGAGTGTATGATTTCCAGGGAGATGCTACAAGAAGAACAGGTTTAGATGAAGCCAGGAGAGGTAAAAGAGGAGTTGTGATAAGATATTTGGCCTATCTTGTGATAGAAAATTGTCTGACCAAGATTGGGTAAATTGGAGAATTGCAGTTGAATAGATTTATCCGTGCTTATGAGGACCTTTGGGATGTAAGGGAGGAAAAAAACTTTTTCCCACTACCCTCTTAGCTTCTCAGCAGGGGCCCTAGCATTTAGACTGACAAAAGACAGGTTAACAAGAAAAGAACCTACACAAACAGAAGTTTATGAATCTGTGCACTGCACACACTTGTGGGAGCACTCAGTGACGAGTAGCTCAAAGGTCTGGTTAGAGGGGCTCCTGGGTGGCTCAGTCGTTAAGTGCGTCTGCCTTCGGCTCAGGTCATGATCCCAGGGTCCTGGAATCGAGCCCCGAATCGGGCTCCCGGCTCAGCGGGAAGCCTGCTTCTCCCTCTCCCACTCCCCCTGCTTGTGTTGCCTCTCTCACTGTCTCTGTCTGTCAAATAAATAAATAAAATCTTTTTTTTTAAAAAAAAGGCTGGTTAGAATTTAGACTTCTATAGCATCTTAACCACAGAACAATACATTTGTAGAGAAGTGACAAGACAAAGGGAAAAAACTACCTTTCTAGGGTGGCAAACTGTGGGAAGGTAAACGTATGGGAAACTAATGGCAAATAAGGCTAGTTAGTAAAGTTGGTTACATAGATTCTTCCGGTGGCATTTGTAGGCTGATTGGGGTGTCCTGTTGTCTTTGATGATTAACTTCTCTCCTTCCTGGTAGGAGATGGGGGAGTTGGCGGGAACATCTTTACAAATTGATGTCCTGCTTTTGGGCAAATGGGGAAGAGCAGATAGTTTCTTATCAAGTGCCTTCAGATCAAAATAATCTTTATGTTAAGGTTGGGTGACATATTCACATCCTTCAGACACTTTCAAAAAGTCAGACTTGTGGTTGCTTTGTAAGTGTCGCTCAGGAAGGAAGCAGGTGGAGCAGCATGGTGTCAATTGAAAGAAAACCAACCTCAAAGTAGGTTAGTAAATGCTTTATCCATTGTTCTACTGAGGACTATAGCCTGGGAGAGTCTTCCAGATGGCTCTGAGGCTCTGTTCTGAGGCTTGTTTGCTACAGGGGGTTATATATACCAAAAAAAAGGGGGTGGGGTGGGGTGGGGAAGGGTTACGCGTACTTGCAAGCAGTTCTCCAAATAGCTGTGCATCATAAGGTATAATCTGTTTGGTTGTAAAAATTAAAGTTTCTGATTACCACATGGACATGAGAAAGACCCTTAGTTCATCCTATGTTTCTATCATATCTGATTGTTCAAAAATATTGCCTGCATGCCTCTGCTTAATTGGTTTTCCAGTTCTTCTTGTTTTTGATTTCTCCTTGAGGTCACGTGAGATGGTCACGGGGGCTGACATCAGTGCACAATGGGGCGTGAACATTGTTGGCAGAGACCATAAAAAGGATGGTGGCCTTATTGGGATGGATCCTATTATCTCTTAACAGTAAGTATGTCTATAAACAATATAGCATTTGACCCTGCCTCTGGGAGGAGTTAGTGTGCATGAGAAATCATGTACTCTAGTCAGACAAAAAATTTAAAAGGCACTTTGCATCCTGAGATAAAGCAAGACAGTCTACCAGAGGATTCCCCTGTCTGGTTAGAGACCCCATAATAAATGAAACCATACTTGCTCCTGGAAGTTATTGACTCTGCATCAGAGATAATTTCATCCACGACAATTTCAATGTTGATGTCTGAAGATATGTGGTGACCTTTGTAGGTAAAATACTGTGACAAAATCTCTGTTTTCCCACCATGAACAGACTACATGTAAACTTGGTCACATTGCTTATCTTGCCTGTAGAGGTGGGTGTGTTTCAAGTCTTGTCGTTGCTTATTTCAGTGTTTTGCTTGCTTTTGCTTTGTTTTTAAGCTACTCTTTTTTACAACGTGGACTCTCCTTTACTAAACTTCTTTGCAAGTAAACTACTTTCTTTTTTTTTCCTAAATGCTTTTCTCAGAGCAAATGTCTGTTAGCTTCTAGTGTATCCTGAAGTAAATAATTTTCATACAAGCATGGATGTCTATATATTTCATTTTATACAGTGTCATTAAGCACGCTATTGTTAAGCTTTTTTTTTTATTTTTTATTTTTTTTATTGTTTTTTTTTATTGTTAAGCTTTTTTTTTTTTAAAGATTTTATTTATTTGAGAGAGAGAGAATGAGAGACAGAGAGCATGAGAGGGAGGAGGGTCAGAGGGAGAAGCAGACTCCCTGCCGAGCAGGGAGGCCGATGCGGGACTCGATCCTGGGACTCCAGGATCATGACCTGAGCCGAAGGCAGTCGCCTAACCAACGGAGCCACCCAGGCGCCCCAAATTTCATAAATTTTAACATATTTTGGCTCTTTTTTTTTTTTAAGATTTTATTTATTTATTTGAGACAGAGAGAATGAGAGACAGAGAGCATGAGAGGGAGGAGGGTCAGAGGGAGAAGCAGACCCCCCGCGGAGCAGGGAGCCCGATGCGGGACTCGATCCCGGGACTCCAGGATCACGACCTGAGCCGAAGGCAGTCGCCCAACCAACTGAGCCACCCAGGCGCCCCTGTTAAGCTTTTAAAAGAACACATTACCTGTCCTTTTTTCTTTCTTTTTCTCTTAGCCAGTTGTAAACCTGAGCTGAAATTTTAAGCCATATTTAGTGTCCCGTAAAGCATTCAGAGATAATCTCACCCAATAGCAATGATGTTTTCATTCCCTAATTGAAGGAAGTTCTAAAGATACGATTGTAAAGGACTTTACTGTTACATGCATAAACTGTATCTAAATTCGATTGGTCTGATCTCTTATTTTAGGAACAATAATTCACAGAAAAATTTGGTTTTATGCTTCTTTATAAAATGAAGCCCTGATTTGTTGAGTAGATCAAGCTATTGATCAGGTAGGAATGAAATACAGGTATACAGCCGCATGGAAACATTTTGCTTTGAAGCATTTCTTATGTCAAGTTGGTAAATTGCTCAGAAAAAATATAATTGGATGTTTGTTTATTGTACATCTTGTTCCTCTTGCGTCTCTTCAAATTCACAGCCATCTTTCAAATGGTCTCTCAAGTTTTTCTTCTGCATGAAACCTTTCCCACAGTTGAAGCGAATCTGGCTCTCTCCCATTTCGACCTCCCAGAGGGTGTACTAGCTGCTGCCCATGGGGCACGTGACTCTGGGGTCCAGCTTTCACTTTCTGTTTTGAATGTGTGCTCATTTCCTTATGGCAAGATGCCACCCACTCCAAACGGCGGCTTTGACTTCAGGAAGGGATACTTCAGAGTTTCCATGTTCCGGCAAGAAAATGCTAGTATTATTGAGTAGTGGTGGGGACTGGAAGAGGGCATGTGATCTGGAATGGCTGGAGGGGCATGCTCTGGTCACCCTCCACGATGGGGTGGTGCTGGGCTCACAGAATGAGAGGAAGAGGACAAAAACAAGAGAGAGAAGGAAGCAGGCGGGCTGGAACAGGGCAGTCAAATCCTCTCTTTGGTGGTGGTGAAGGTGAGGGTGGGAACAAGAAGGGCTTTTATCTCAGGCAGAGAGAGAAACTTCAAGACAGCCTGAATACAACTTTATTCCTTTTATTTATTTATTTATTTTAAAGATTTTATTTTTTTGTGTGAGAGAGAATGAGAGACAGAGAGCATGAGAGGGAGGAGGGTCAGAGAGAAGCAGACTCCCTGCTGAGCAGGGAGCCCGATGTGGGACTCGATCCTGGGATTCCAGGATCATGACCTGAGCCGAAGGCCGTCGCTTAACCAACAGAGCCACCCAGGCACCCACTTTATTCCTTTTAAATCAGTTCTCAGCTGCATGCGTGGTGGGCAATGGAGGGCCTGTTCCCCCCAGCCAACCTGGCTGCAGGATCTGAGTTGAGGCTCATTGCAGCAGTCTGTGGTTCATAGCCTTAAACTCTCACACTGTGAAAACTGACCGAAGGGACACCAACTCCGCGGGTTTTCTGACTGCAGCGGATGAAGAGGAGGAAATGCGTCCCAGCAGGAGAGAGAGGAGAAGGCGGAAGGGACCAAGTTGTCCCTGCCTGTGGTGTGTATACGTATGGCCTGGGGCGTGGTCCAGAGCCCAGCCCCTGGGGCCAGGGGCCCGAGCCTCTGCTCTGGCTCCACCTGTTGGCAGAGTAATGTTCCTAAATTCTATAACCCTGCTCAGTTTCACTCTCTCCAGGTGCAAAATAGAGAAAAAGTAAATAACTTCTTTTCTTTTTTTTCATTTAAAAAAATGACTTATTTTCTGGCCCTATGGTGAGAAGTCAGCCGGTCACATATGACAAGCGCTCAGCGGCAGGCACGCGGCGTGTTCAGTAAGCGCACCTGGGCCCTGGGGAAGCGCTGTCCGCATCAGCTCTTCCTGGCTCCCCAGGGAAGTTTAAGTGTTCCATCTCCTCTTGTCCATGTAACCATGTAGGTAATATTTTGTTGAATCTCACAGGTCTTTTTTCCTTACTGGTTACTATTATTTCTTGAAGACCTCACTCCATGTTCATAGCAGAGAGCACATAGCAGGTACTCAATGCCTATTTATTCAACAAATAATAACAGCTCTCCTCCCCTTACATGTCTCCTCCCCTCACCCCCCCCCCCCCAAAGTGGCTCACCACCACAGCTCAGCCCCTGGCTGTTTTTGTTTTTATTATATTCCCTACCAAGAGAATGAACTCTTCTGAGGCTCTAGACTGAGGTTTCTGTTCCTTTTCTATGCCTTTATGTCATCTAGCCCCCGTGCCAGAACCATTATAGGTTCTCAAGAAATGCTTCTTGACCTCTGTTGATTTGACAATAAGCAACTCTTCCAGAGAGACTGAAAAGGTGGTGTGGCTAAGCTAAGACTGTGGATGATTTTCAGTGTTTTCTTTTTTGCTTATCTGCATTTTATAAATTTCTCACTTGCATAATTTAAAGAACACGGTGTAAAAATGCTCTAACCCTTCAACATAGCAGAGCAGAAGAGCAGGAAGCTGGGCCTCCTCATTAGTGCTCCATAATGAGCATGGTTTGTCTTGGTCTGACAGAGACAAGTTGAGGCATTTTGGAGACCAGGATCTGCCAGAGCACTAACCCAGGTTAATTTAGGTCACAAACCCAGGAGCTAGGATCGTGGTCACACATTACATGGTGTCATTCCGTGTAATGACATTCAATAAATGTCTTAACAACAACAGCAGTAACATTCTCTCCATCTTTCAAGTTACTTAAGATGTTCTGACTGCTATTTTTAAAAGTAAGATTCAAATCACTTTCTAGATAAACATGTGTTAAAAAACCTTCCAGGTGTAACTGAGAGATTAAGAGCTAAATGAAGGTTTTGTGTTCCGGGAGCTTGAAAGACAGCAAACAGTCCAACACAAATAGAAACATGTCTTAATACTGGAAACATTTTCCTTAATCCACCAATTATCACTTCGTTCATTCGTGCGGGGTTTCGAGCCTGTGCAGGTGTTGGTCTTCAGTAGGTGAGCGTGGGAGGTCCCCTTTGAAGCGCAGTTGCTGGACATCACAGGCCCTGGCAGCTCCCAGAACATTCTTCTGCCCATTGTCGATGTTATATCATCAGGTCCAGGCCTTTTGATGAACAGATTCTTGAGGGTGGGACCTGTCAACTCTGGATCCTGGACCGTGTCTACCACTGGCCCTTAGAGGAGCGGCTACATTTCCAGGCCCTTTCTTTGGTTCACTGGGGGCCTTAAATAAAGGGCTTACTTTCTCTATATGTAGAGGATTTTGTGTCACTACCAGCTTCTGAGCTGGAAGCACAGCGCAACTTTCCCTTGGCGTTGCGGGCTGCACTATTTCCAGCAAACACCTCTTTGGGATGCCTGATGAGGCACTGAATAGACTTCAGTTTTTCATAGAGCCTCCGCTGGGGTGGCAGGGGGTATCTTCCCTTGAAGAGGGCAACCTGGGGTGCCTGGGTGGCTCACTTGGTTGAGTGTCGGACTCTTGGTTTTGGTTCAGGTCATGATTTCAGGGTCATGGGATTGAGCCCTGCATGGGGCTCCATGCTCAGCGGGGAGTCTGTTTGAAATTCTTTCTCTCTCCCTCTTCCTCTGCCCCTCCTCCCGCTTGTGCACTCTCTCTGTCAAATAAATAAATCTCTCTCTCTCTCTGTCAAATATAAATAAATCTTAAAGAAAAAAAGGGCAACCGACGCTGGGCTCTGCCATTTTGAAGTACTGATACGCTATCAGCACTTATTTGCGATTTACTCTGCCTTACCAACCTGAAGGTATAGATGGGGTCACAGTACTGGGAATAATTCATAATTTTCTGGCTTTTGCCTCAACTATTTATTGAAGACCTCAGCCATCGGAGAGAATCTTGCTTACCTGCTTGGGGGTGTTTCACGTATTTTCACAAAAAAGTCTCAGGTTGCTGGACACCCCCATTGGAACTCCCATCGATCAGGTTTCTCTCATCTCCTGCTTGGCCGCATGGA